TAAAGCATATTTAGTTTAAAAAAATATATTCAATATTTCATTTATTTTTTTATAACTATTGTTTTTATTGTGCATATTTAAATTATTAAACATATTTTTGCAAGATAATTCATCTAGTTAAAAACACTTTTTCCGCAGTACTTGATCTCAAACTCTTAGATATTAGAACAACGAATCATTTCACCATTGTCTTTAATAAAATCATCAAAAAAAAAATTTTTAATTTCTTTTTTAATTTTTTTCGTAAAGGAAATCAACGAAATCATCGAAACCATCGTGAAGTCCAAGATTTAAATCTTTATAATGATTCATCCACTGAAGAAATATTTCTTCAAAGTTATTTTTTGTTATTAAATAATATGAGATATTTCATATTATTTATATTATTTATATTATAAATAATATGAGATAAAGATAAGATTTAATGGTTGACATATCGTCAACCATTAAATCTTATCTTTTGGTTTCCTTCAAATTAAACTGAACAACTAAACATGATTTGGCTAACAATCACTTAACATTGAATTAATTTTTTTTTTTTTTTTTTTTTATCACTTAAAATATTTTTTTTAATACATAACCTCCATACCTTTTTTTCCAGATATTATGAAATGGTTTACAAAATAATCATCGCAAGAAGTTTTTCCATTATGTATCAAAATAATCCACCACCAATCTCCTTGTGAAAGTCAATCATCATTTACTGATGAATTTTTATTTTATCAGTAAATAATGATTGACTTTTATAAAAACATTTGTAGAATTTAAAACCATTAGAAATGCGGTTGTTAATACTTTTAGGTAGATGATCTAAGGAGAAAATGAAATTATAGAAACATCTATAAACAAAAAAAATATGTTGTTATATATAATACATTTTTCTATTTATTTATACCTATATTATTATTAAATTGTAATTAAATTAAAAACATTATAGTTTTTTCTTATTACTAAAAACATCTAAGATAACACATAGGCATCAGGGCGACATTGGTGTGACATCTAAAATAAATAAAAGCTACACGGAGATGTAATTTTTTACAATTTGATATGCAGCTGCTTATCCGCAGAACGTATACAAAGATGTCAAAGTAACATCAGTGGGAGGCCCGTAATGTATTAGATAAAGTTATGACTTTTACATATTTTTGATAAGTGGCTTGCTTATTGGTAGGATGTAACCAATAACACCTAAAAAACATTGACACTTCATTTTTCACAGTTTTCGTTTTTAAAAGATCATATAAAAACAAAAACTTAGTAACCTTAATAAAAGAATAGAATTAATTAAACTTGAGCAATCAATGCAAACAAATAAACTAGAAATTACTTGGTATAATGCAATCAGTAATAGATGAATTTGCTCCAGTTAAAAAATTTCCAGAGGGAAGTTCATAGCACTTAGTGAAAAAAAAAGAGTAGGATATTAAAAAAAAACAGATCAAAAACCATAAAAAGAAGTTTAAAATAGACAAAGGAACAGAAGCATTTCAAAGCAAAAACCTTAATAATAGTTGGATGTATATAAAGCGAATGTGTTTCAATATAAAAAAATTATCAGATAAAAATCAAACATTTTACAATACAATCAATTGATGAAAAAAAATTACAAATATTACTTGGTATAATGCAGCCAGTAATAGATAAATTTGCTCCAGTTTAAAAGTTTCCATCGATTGATGAAAAAATAAAATTTATGATAAAAAGAAGAGATTATTTAGCTAAAATAAAAAGGAGAAAATATATAAAGTTTAGAGACGAAAAAAATAAGTAGGATATTAAAAAACAGAACAAAAACTATAAAAGGAAGTTTGAGATAGACAAATGAACATAAGCATTCTAAAGCAAAATTCCTAAATATGGTTAGAAGTATATAAAGCAAACGTGTTTGACAAAAGACAAAAGACAAAAATCAAACCTTTGATCATAATACAATTGACTTACACAATCTTAATTACCATCTAGCTTCATTGGTAAATTGCAAAGATAGGACTACACTAGTATAGCCAAACAGATGTAGTGATCAAATCACAAAGAAAAAAACTGACAACTTACATAATAAAATTGGAAACATTGAGATTCAATAAGTAACTCATGTTAAGCTATTCGGGAGCACTATAGATTAGCATCTCAAATTCAAAAAACAAATTGATTTAACCATTAAATTTAAATTAAAAAATACCACTCTGGTATGAGAATAGTAGCACCAGCATCTATCAGGCTTCTAAGAGAACTGTTAAATATAGGGTAGAAAGGACTTACACATAGCCAATAAAAATATACCAGCATATTCTAACTGGACAAACAAAAGCATAACTAAATAGTCTTAATATAATACAAAATCAGTGTGTTTGAGTTACCTGTCACAAACATAAAAACACCTATTCTGCTCTTCTTTTAAACAAACTAAAACTTGATACCTTAGGAAAGAGAAAAAATGTTTATGCAAAAAAAATAATCAAGGCAGTCTTTTTCAGGAATATGCCATACATTTATGGCTTACATGTTTAATATGAATGAAGATTCAAACCTTATAGTTGAAAAAACAACAAACCATCAAGAAAGGAAAGACTTTGATATTATAGAGAGCCAATATATTTAATAAATTTAACTCCTAATAAATACATCCTGTTATTCCATTGGTATATACTATTTAAGCAGTGGAAGAGTTAACGGTAATTAAAGAACAATTTAGAACAATAATAATAATCTTTAATTTGAAAGGAAATGGAGTGATGCTACATCGACTGAGGGTTTAGTTATGGTAAACAGTCTAATAAATAACTAATAAAACAAAAAAACAAAAAACAAAAAAACAGAAAAAAAAAGATCAATAATTTTAAGTCAATAATTTTAAACAAATTTGAATAAATGAGGCATTTCCGGAGACAATCAAGTCTTGGAGGTGCTATTTTTGGATTCCTTAAGTAAAAATCTATTGGGGTACCAAATTTAAGAAAATTTCTCCAAGCCATTATGAAAATACTATATGTCAAAGTTGGTTTGTAGTCACTTCAGATAATCATTAAAACGCAGAGTCAGCATTATTTCAAGTGACGATATCTCTGGAACTCTGGAAAATTTATATAGAAAATTGTAACTAAACAGAAAATGTCATTTGCACATGGTTGACTTGTATGTTCAAACCAGGTTTTAACAACGTTTGATAAGACTGACTGTACAAAAGCAGAGTGAAACTATAAAAATTTGTGTGCAGACCAGAGTAGGTTTTTTTATCAAAAACTGTAGTAGTTACTGTAGAATTTATTTTGTGAAAAGTTACGTCCAAGAAGAATATTTTCAAATTCACTTCTTATTCCATGGCGAAAGAAATAAAATTGTGTCTACTATTTATACAATTAAGGAGAATATGTGCTTCATTTTCTGACTGAAAAGCAGCAAAAATGTCATCAACATATTGTATATAGAAAACTGGTTTAACACCATTTGTTTAGTTATTATTTTCTATGTAAATTTGTATTAACCTATTTTTTCGTCACTTCCTATTCGTTCTTTTAGTATGACTTGTTATTCTTATAGATTTTGTCGTATTTTTGTAATTAAATTAATAGTTTGTACATTGATAATTACATTTTGTATTGTTATTGTGAAAATCACTTATATAGGTATTTGAACAAATTTAAAAAAATTTAAATTTAACTTAAGATGACAAGTGATAGTCGAAACATGTATTGTTTAAAATTAATAAAATGGTTTTATTAATTAAAAAGTTTGTCTTGTTTAATATATATTTGAATATATATATATATGTATATATATATATATATATATATATATATATATATATATATATATATATATATATATATATATATATATATATATATATATACATATATATATATTCAAATATATATAATATATATATATATACATATATATATATTCAAATATATATATAATATATATATATATATATATATATATATATATATATATATATATATATATATATATATATATATTATATATATATTTGAATTTGAACCAATTTTTAACTCAAACTTAAGGGTCTTCTATTACTGGTTTAAGAGTTAAAACAACTTTAGTGTTACTTGCATTAGTGACTAAAACATATTGCTTTGTTTGTGGAATGGAATGTACTGGAGCCTATTCATGTGAAATTTATAAAAACCCAGTGCACAGTCTGTGGCAATAAAGTAGGAAAAAAAAGGATATGTATCAAAATATCTATGCTACTTATGCAAAATAGAGGAAAGCATTAAAGAACTAAGGAAAATGCTACAAAACAACAAATATCGGCTGAAAAAATAAAAGAAGTTTCTTTGAAAACTGTGGGTTCCACAATTTTGGTATTTTTCCTTAGGCCTATTAGATGATAGATCAGGACCTAAAGTGACTGTTGAATTTTAACCTACAATAAACTCAGAAATTTTGTGAGACTCTGGTTAGATAAAAAAATAATTTATATCAAAGTATCTGGTGCAATCAATATATTGTCCGAAAATAAAAAAAAAGCAACTGTTTTAATTTCAACTATTCTCCTCTATTTTTGTGGCACAGTATTTACTGAGAGAAAATAATGATCAGAAGAATGTGTGGAATGTCTCAAGGCGAGAAGAACCATGGTATAAGACAAAGATTATTGCTATAATGTTGTGATTGCTGTTCTGAGTATAGCAACTTCTGAAAGATTAAAAAATCATCAAAAGATTTTAAAAAAATTATTATTTAGCTATCTGCGAATGATTTGAAATGCAATAAACTTCATTAAGTTACATATATAACTTAATTTATGACTACCTTAATTTATTTAGAATTAGGTTAGTGTTTTAAAATTAAAAAATCTGTAATTTTTAGGTTTTAGTAAATAAAAAATTTAAAAGAAAAATATAATATACCTTGAACAATATAAATACACAAATTTGTTTTACAAATTTAAAAAATATTTTGAGCACAAGTTATATATTAAATTAAGAATCTTGCGTTTTATATGTTTTGAAAACCTTGAAGTACAAAAACAGAAATAAAAAAATAGAATGGACAAGAATGGCATGCGATCAAAAATAGAATGAAAAAGTTAAAATAACTCTTATTTAATACTTCATAAAAACAGAACAAGATGAAACAATACAAATCAAAAAAAAAAGAGTACGACATGACAAATTAATTTAGTTGATCTAAATAAAAAAGATATTTTACAACATACCAACTATTTTTGTTTATATTTACTGAAAGTGTTGAGGGTTAAAACTTTGTAATAAACATAGATATCAATAGAAAGATCAAGCAACAACCCTAATATTTTTAATCACAACAGCTATTAGCTTTAAAAAAATAACACACACCCATTTATTGACAGTTTTCTAATGTTACATTTAACAAGCAGGTATTTCCTGAGCTCCCTGTTAAATAAAAAACATGATTTTAGGATTCGTATAAACTCTTATTTAATATTTCATAAAAACAGAACTAGATGAAAACAATACGAATCATATAAACTATTTAACAACAAAAAAAAAAAGAGTACGACATGACAAATCAATTTAGTAGATCTAAATAAAAAAAATATTTTACAACATACCAACTATTTTTGCTTATATCTACTGAAAGTATTGAGGGATAAAACTTTGTAATAAACATAGATAACAATAGAAAGATCAAGAAACGACACTAATATGGTCAATTAACAGCAACAACCATTTTACTATTATATTTAACAGTTACCGAGACTTACTTTACTTCTAAACCAACAACGTAAAATAAAACTAATATAATTAGTACAATTAAAAAAACTTTTTTTTAAGTCAAAACATAGGATATTATTTTTGAATTAAAGTTTTTTAAGATATTAATGTGCTTAAAAAATAGATTAAAAATCGCTACATATTAATTTTCATGTTGATCTGCTTGTGGTAGATTAATTTTTAGGAAAATTTAATTAATTATTTAGCTGCATTCAGTTATAATTATTATAATTATTATAATTATTTAGCTGCATTCAGTTATAAATCATCAGAGTAAGGCGGATCAAAATTTTGTTTACAATAATCAAAAATGTTTAAAAACCGAAAAAAAATACTAAAAGATTTTTCATTAAAACAAATTTGTTTATCTTTTAAATTACAGAAGATACATCATGAACTGTTTCATTAAATTGAATAATCCTATTTGTTAGATAAAACAGAGATAAAGTTTCAAAACATGCTTTATATATACAAAAACATATATATATATATATATATATATATAAATATATATAAATATATATATATATATATATATATATATATATATATATATTTGATAAATTTTATAAGGTACCCAGGCTTGGTCGGGAAGCGGGAGCGATCGCTCTCGATTGCTGACCACGTAAATAATATTTAGTTGCGAAAAGCTGGCCAGATTTTTGAGCCGTTTTGAGAACATTTTAAAAAGGCAATAAAAAAAAAAAGGCGACAAAGATTCCTTGGACCGATGAGAGACAATTACAAAAAAATAAAAAATAATAGGCAAATAAAATATCTTTAAACGCGAAAAAAGTTAAAGCTAAATAAATTACATTTAGAACAAATATTGCTCTTTTACAATTTTTCTTATAAAATTAAGCGATGTTTTTTATATAAAGTAACAACTTACGATTGTTTAAAAGGGAAACAATTATTTTTTATTTAACTAAGTTTGCAAGTTTTAGTTTTACTTAAGCTTAATTTATTATATAAATAAAAAAGATAAAAATAAAAAAATACCTATTTTATGTTTCGCATAGTTTAAAAAGTTTAACATATTTGAAGCGATTCTTCTTAGTAAGATAAACAAATGAAATAATTAAATCATTGAATTACTATAAGAATTAAATTATCAAGATAGAAATCAACTAAAAAGGTTAAAAATACTTAATGACCAGGAAGCGAAACTGCTTCACAATATCACTGATGATGTTTAGTGAGTGGGCTTTTTAATTTCAATTAGAATTTAAAGCAGAAAAAAGTATAACGAGTTTAAAGAATGGCAACTTGATCGAAAATAATTAGAGTTAGTAAACCAATATCTAGAAACTTTTCTTTATATCTAATTATTTGCTATATATATTCGTGTTCTGTCGTGACCTCAGGCGCGATGCTTGTTCATCCGCGAGTTACTTTGTATGCGTTGTTTGTGTTTAGTAACAAGAAACTTCTTATATGTTTGTTACATAATTAGTTTTATAAACTTTAACGATTATAACTTCATTGAAAACGCAATTATTTGTGTAAGTCTTTGTTTAAAACATCAAAATTGCTTTAAAAGGTACATTACGATAAAAAACAAATACACAAAATTAGATTTACATAAAGAATACAATCTCTTTTAAAATAAAAAATAAGAATATACTAATAAAATCTATGATTTATAATAAACTTTTAAAATTTTAACAATTTAATCAATATATATTTTAAACATTTATTTTCGTAAACAAATATATATTCTTAAAACAATGCTAGAAATCTCAAAACGTAACAAATAGTGAATAATTCTATTTCTAAAACATTTTAACAGAATACTCTAAAACTTTATTTCGCTTAACCAGCGTATTTTTTGAACCAATAGAATTAGTTTGTTCGTTAATTTGGCGGGTTTTTAGTGTTCACAAATATTTTTTTTATTCCTTCGCACAAAGATGTTTTAAGAACATTCAAGTTTTTTATGTTTCCATGTATGTTCGTAAAACAAAAATTTTTTGTTTCGTACATAAACTTAAATGTTCTCAAAACGACTAAAAAACCTGGCCAGTTTTACGCAACTAAATATAATTTCCGTGGTCAGTATACGAGAGCAATCGCTCCCGCTTCCCGACCAAGCCTGGGTACCTTACTTCATGAGAGGACTTATTACATGGAATGACCAAAGATCAACTTCCCTACCTTTTGAATAAGAAATGTTTTATATGTATTTCATCATTCACCACAACTCATTAGGCCACAGAAAAGTTCAACTTATTTGTATCAGCTTTAGAAAGATGAATATATAACAATGTAGATATGTGGAACTGCTATCCTAGGCAGTTACTAATTCAACTAAAATTATATGTTTATTAAAACATATAATCACTGTCAGGGGAAAATTCTTGTAAACTAGGTTTTTATTATTTAATTAATAAATCCTGATAAACATGCTAGCCTATAATTCAACTCATCTTTTATAATTTTCTAACTTGGTGTCTGGTTAAACTAACCCAAATAGTAAAGCATACCTAGAGTTTCAACTTTTCTCAAATATTCTTACTAAATGAGTTCAGCTGTTAAAAATATGACATAAGGTTTTCAATTTTTTTGTCAACCATTCTAATATCAAATCTAATATCTACAATCTTTTCCAGTTTTAACAAAAAAAAAGAGCTTTTAAGTGATTGCAATCAAAATATTAACCAATTATAAAATATTGTAAACTAAAATAAAAATAACTCAAATTTAATCGTCCGCCCTTTACATCAACTTTGATCAATTAGATTACTACATGTTTTGCTCAATTTTCAGTTAATTACTTTTTTCTATTATTGGTATTAATTAACTGGTATTTTGAATCGGATAACAAAAATTAAATTTAATTTTTCAAAATATATTTTCCATTTATATGATTAGTTGGCATTTATATTGAGATAAAAAAGATACATAAAAAACAAACAAACTATGATTAGAAAAATTTACTATATTTTGTTAAAAAATCTGAGTTTTTATTATATATAAATATTATTAAAAATAATTACTTGTTAACTCATCAATTTACCCTATTAGATCCATTCTCTTCATTTCATTTAAAGCTGATTTTACCTTTCATAAATTCCCCAAGCTGTTCAAACACTTTAACTAAATTCTATTTTAATATCATGGCTCAAGACTGTGCTTCTATTATTTTTTTGAGATTAGTAATAATACTCATTTGGATGTTTCTAAAACAAAATAAAATACAATATTTAATATGATACCAGGAAAAATACAATATCCATATATAAATATCTGTCTTTAAAGATCAAATTCTTGTTAAAAAATATTTTTATAAATAAGTTGAATTCAATAAAAAAGAAAATGTATAAACTATTTTTTAAATACAATTTGATTTAATAAAATATTAAGAACATTTTGCGGACCAATTGTGGTCATAAAAAACACATTTGTACTTTATTTTAGAATATACTAATATATATATATATATATATATATATATATATATATATATATATATATATATATATATATATATATATATATATATATATATATATATATATATATATATATATATATATATATATATATATATATATATATATATTATATATATTATATATATACATGTATATATATATATATATATATATATTATATATATATATATATATTATATATCATATATTGCTATATTACATTAATGTTATATTACATCTTTTCATATTATTAAAATACTATTTAGCTGCAATAAAATAATATAATGCAATAATATGTAGGTCTATAATATGATATATAAATCTAATTAGAACATATAAGTTTATACAGATTTAAAAACTATGATTATAACTCTATATATACGAACGTTTTTTTTTATTATTATAGTAAAATTTTATTAATGGTAATAAATTTATGTATTTATATTGTTTATCTATAACTTACAATTATCCTAGTTTCACGATGCTTTATCATAGGAAAAACAAGTATAGCTCTTAACTCAGCTTTCTTTTGATTTCAAATGGAAAGAATGAAATCTTTATGAATAAGTCTATATAACTGTATTTTTTATCACAACAGCTATTGGCTTAAAAAAAATAACACACACCCATTTATTGACATTTTCTCCTGTTACACTTAACGAGCGGGTATTTCCCTAGCTCCCTGTTTCAATTAAATGAAAAACATGACGTTAGGCTTTGTCTGAATAAAATTTATCGTTAGCCGGATTTTTATAGGCTTTACAATAAGCACGTGTTTACTGTAAACGCAATATTTTTTGTAAATAAAAGTAAAGCTTAACAAATTTAGTTATACTGGTTTTTAAACTTTCCCTTTTTTTCTAAATTAAAAAACATTTAATGAATGTAATATTTTTATGTATATTATTATTTAGTGTTTAATTTTATTCCTATTTATATATTCAAAGCCAGCAGGATAGGGGGGTGCGGGGGGGGGAGGGGGGAGGGGTGACATCCAGCCCCACCCCCCATCAATGATTTTTAGTCGGCAATATTTACCCAGGTTAGTCGGTCAGTTAGACAGTTTCGATAAGTTAGACAGTCAGTTGGCAAATGTCGTCATGGCAGTCTCCCCACGTGATACCTACTCGCACCAGTAGGTATCACGTGGGGGGTTGCCATAACAACTTTTGCCAAAAAAAAAAAAAATAATAATCTCATCGTTTTCGAAAATTTGTGGACTGTCATGACGACATTTGCCAATTGACTGTCTTATTTATCGAAACTGTCTAACTGACCGACTAACCTGGGTAAATATTGCCGACTAAAAATCAATTAGTTTTTATACTGATATAAATTTATTATTCTTTATTATTATTCTGTTCTTAAGGTTTTACTACTCTATTGTTTAAGTACATTGAGCACTCTAATTGTAGAATACACTAACATGATATATAAATGTATATATATATATATATATTATATATATATATATATATATATATATATATATATATATATATATATATATATATATATATATATATATATATATATATATATATATATATATATATTAAAATCTGATATACACAAAATATGAAAAACTTGTTTTAAACTCGAAAAACTACTTACTTATTCGTTACTTAGACAAAATTCATTGCTTAGGAGAAACTGATGCAATTGTTCTTCACTGAATACAAATGTGATAAATTTTAAAAAAATTGTACTCTAAATCATTATTGGTTAAAAAACAGCTTAAACCAATCACTGTTTTATAAATTAACAATTGCATCAGTTGCTACAAACCTTTCGCCGAAAACTTAAAAAAAATGTTTTGAAAAAGATAGTAATTGTTTTTTTTATAACCAATCAAATTTGTAAAAAAATTAGAACAGTTGATCAATTGCTCCAAATTGTTGAAACTTTAAAAAATTCTGATATGTTTCCTGATATACAAAATTCGCTCGTAATTTTCGCCGTTGGACTAGTAAAGTAAAGTTTAAACAAAAATGAATTTTTTAATCTCAAATGCAACTAAGGCTTTTAAATTTGCGAATAATTTGTCTAATTTTTCGCAAATATAAAAATAAGTTGACTAAAGAATTGAAAGTTTTAAATAAAAAGAGTCCAGTTCAGCCACATAATCACAAAGCAAGAATATAGTAAAGATTATGTTGCTTTAAGGTAAAACCCTATTATTAAAGTTGGTATTTCATATTTCCTGGTAAAAATTAATGGTATTTTATGTTCAATAAATGGTATTTCATATTTCCGGCTAAAAACTAATATAAACTGTGCTTATTTATATATATTTTTTTTTATTTAATGTCATCTGAAGATGGAAATTGCCTCTACAGTTTAGCTTCTCTTTTTAGCAATTCTTCTCTAAAGACAGTAAATGTATTAAGGCTTCTAATTGAATTAATTGAAAAAGCTTCCTTCTATGCGAGTACTTTTTTTTTGTTAAACAGGTTGAAAAAAATAATTTTTCTAATCTTTTCAGTGTGCTAAAAGCATTTTTTTTTTTTTTGAATGTTCAAATGTCCTAAATTTATCCCGATTTTGGCTTAGAAAAATTCAAAAAACTTTTTAATGCAATTATTTTTCCATTTCGTTCAATTAAAAATCAAAATCAAAATGTTTTAAATATTTTAGTTGTAATAAATTATGTCAATAATGCAAAATAATAATCACTGGTCACTGAACCATTTTGTACCAATTATTAAAAAGTCTAAACTATTTTCTAGTAATAATACGAATTTGGCTATAAAAAACGATGCTACTTATCCGTTACACTTTTTTACTCCTAAAACTGAAACAAATAAAAAATAAGTTGCTGCAAAACATGTCAAAATTAAATCTAAAATTAACTTTAAAAAACACAATGCTTTTATAGAGTTGCCTTTTGAATCTTTTGTAGATTTAAAAATATTTGAGTCATTAGATTCCAACTCAGTTAATATTCCTTCATATAAAGACTCAAATTCTTTCAATGATGTTTCAACGTATTTTGCTTGTGGTAAACCTTTAACCGAAAAGAAGATGCAATTTTGTTAGATATCGTATACCATATCTAACAAGAGTGCATCGTTTTTGACGAAACACTTTATTTATAAATATAGTGTTTCTTCCTAAATCTAAATGTTTGTTTCTCCAATATCTTTTAATACAAAAAGATCAATTAAATTTGAATTGCGCAGCCAGTTTTCTTGGTTAGCTTATTCTAGCAAAGAAGATAGAGCTTACTGTCTTCTTTGTACTTTGCTAGGTGCTAGTATTCCAAATAAATCTGGAAAATTAAATTTAGTTTTCACGCCTCATTAAGAGTGGGGTAATGCTGTTCACTATTATAGAAAACATGATAAAAAGTTGCGTTTTACATGAAAAATCAATGCTTTCATTTATTGTAATGCTTTCACGTTGTAACTCAAAAAGTAATTTTATTGAGGTTGATTTAAATAATTTTCATTTGAAACTTCTTTCTGATAACCGAGAAAAATTAGTTCCAATAATTAAAACACTAATATTTCTTGGTAGAAATGATCTAGCATTTCGTGGACATCGTGATGATAGCAAATATCATCCTAATATTGGGAAAACTTCTAAACAAAAGGTTAGAGTTGGTAACTTCATAGAGCTTTTAAATTTTCATGTTGATGTTGGTGATCAAATATTAGCTAATCATCTTTCTTCAAGTCCAAAAAACGCAACCTATATATCAAAAACTACCCACGACCAACTTATTGATTCTTGTGGGAAAGCAATTGAGGAAGTTTTTATAAAAAATGTTAAGCATACTATTTTTTTTCAATTCTTTGTGATGAATCAGTTGACTGTTTAAATACTGAGCAAATGTCACTTGTTTTGAATTTACATATCTTAAATATGTAAATTCAAATAATGAGGTTTGCGAGGATTTCCAAAGATTTATTGATTGCAAGATTCGTACATCTGGTCTTAGTCTATCTCTAAATTTACTTAATGCACTTCAAGAGATTGGACTTGATATCCAAAATTGTAGAGGCCTAGGGTATGACGGTGTATGGCAGTTGAATATAACGGAGTTGCTTCTCGAATAAAAGCTCTTATTCATAAAGCTATTTTTTTTAATTGTGCAAGCCATGGGCTTAGTTTAGTAGTAGCAGCTGCATGCCAAGTTCAAAAAGTAAAAAATTTTCTTTGCCAAAAAAAAAAATTTCTTACATATTTAACTTATTTCCTAAACAAAGAAACTGTCTCAAAAAATATTTAAGTCCAAATCAGGAAAAAAAGGGACTTGTCAAACAAGATGGATTCAAAAGCTGAGAGATCTTGATGTTTTTTTTTTTATTTTAGTTATAACAAAACAGTTGTTTTTTTTTATGCATTTACTGTTGCTCTTCAAACTAAATCTTTAGATTCTAGCAGTGTTTTGAAATAACAAATTTAAATAAACTGTTATTAGAAGTTAAAAACAAAATTGATATATATCCGACAGAATGGTACACTCTCGCTCTTAGTTTGGCCAAAACTCTTGATATCCCAGAAGTTAGACCTAGATTGTGTAATGTCCATCTGATATGCCTCATTTTACTTCAATACATCCTGAGTTAGATTAGTGGAGTTATTTTGGAAAAGTTAGTCAAGTATTCTTTCAACTGTTGCTGGTACTTTAAAGTCCATTGACATGAGTGGTTTTCCGAATATAAGGACAGCGTTTTTAATTTTCGCAACAGTTCTGATTACAACTTGTAAATGTGAAAGAAGTATTTCAGTTATACGTAGGCTAAAAACATACTCCAGAAGAAATGATTGAGTCTCGCTTTAACTCTTTAGCATTAATGTCTATACATCAAGAATTTTTTCCAGATGTTGAATGAGTCATTGACATTTTTTCAAAGCCAGGTGAAACACGTTTAGACTTAGCTTTTATTTAGTTGTGTACTTGCTTTTATTTTACTTTTTCCTTATTTCTAAATTAATTTTTACTAATATTGTATAAATATATACATATATATATATATATATATATATATATATATATATATATATATATATATATATATATATATATATATATATATATATATATATATATATATATATATATATATATATATATATATATATATATATATATATATATATATATATATATATGTATATATATATATATATATATATATATATATATATATATATATAAATATATATATATATATATACATATATATATATATATATATATATATATATATATATATATATATATATATATATATATATATATATATATATATATATATGTATATATATATATATATATATATATATATATATATATATATATATATATATATATATATATATATATATATATATATATATATACATATATAAAGAAAGAGAGAGAGAGAGAGAGAGAGAGAGAGAGAAAGAGAGAGAGAGAGAGAGCCTAATAGCTTACATTTATTTTATATTAATTGAACTTCAATAAAAAGAATATAACAAAAATTATTATTAAAAAAAAAAAAAACAGTTTAAAATTAAAAAAAAATCCTATCATAAAAAAGAAAAAAAATTGTAATAATAAAAGGCTAACCTTGATTATTACAATACTACTTAATTAACCTAATATTATTTAACATTAGTAAATAACTTTAAATTACGTGCCTATCTAGAAAAGGAAAGAATCCAAATATGGAGGGCTAA